AACAGTGTCAAGAGGACACCTCCATTTCCATCCTGACCCTTCCTGCGTCGGGTTGTGTGTTGCCACCAGGCAGGCAATGTATCTCAAATTAAAACAAAACAAACAAAAATCAGTCTTAAAAAGAGAAGGTGGGAGAGGAGATAGTAAGTCATGAAACTTCTGAGAATTTACTTGCAAAATAACCAACTTCTGGTAAAAGAGATGGTCTGTGTTTACAGAGTGTTTTGTCTTACAAAAGAAACATTCAATTCTACAGGAGTGTTGTGAAGGTAGGAAGGAGAGATAGCAGGGAAAATAGAGAAACTGAGTGAGGGAGGGTGGAAGGGAAGGGAGAGTAGGGGTAGAGGGAAGAAGGGATAGAAGGAAAGGGGAAAAGAGAATTGTTGGAAATATTTTTAGAGCGTTATAAACTTTTTAAAAAATATCTTTATTCTCGTCTTGTAGTAACTTCTCTGACTCTGTTCCTCTTCAGCTCCTATCAGCATGCAGTCAGGTGAGTCACTCTTTTGGTGTTGTTCTTTTATATCTCTAGGAACCATAGTTATTCTGCTATGCAAGGAAGATACACTTCCCCCAGCCTCTTAGGTGAGGGTTTTGGAGATCAGGGCTTGGACTGGGGTGAAGAGAGCAGGAGGCCAGTGTCTCACCCTGGTCCTAGCCGGGGCAGGAATGCTCCGACATCACATTCATCTTTGCTACCTGCCTGCTTGATGGGCAGAAGATCCTACCCTGACACTCCAAGGCAATGAATTTCTCTCCCTTTACTATTAAGCCCTGGGACAGGAAAGAATTTAACTATGAAGAGAAAGCAAATCATGCAATGTAGTCTTGGGAAAATGTTCTCCTGGTTTCATCCACAGGAGCTCAGTAGTCTCCACCAGAAGTACTAGAGACAGTGATGGAAAACATTTATAATAGAAAACCAGTGGGCTAGGGAGATGCTGTGCAAAAAAACAAGAACTTCCCTCAATCTTATATTTGGATTGCAAACTACCCATGTATAACTTGTTTTTCTTTCTTTTTTTTAATTAAAATTCTAATGTAATGGAAAAGAAAGTTTGCTTTTATATTAACCTGGAAAGTTACATTTTCTTATTTAATGATTCCTCTGAGAAAGTATTCATCCTGCTATAGGGATGGAAAGTGATACTTTTATATACTTTTATTTTATATAGTACTTTTATATCTGATGATATATATTACATTTTGTTATTTTAAGCAAAAGTGTTCTTAACACATTAGAGGGTCTCTGATTCAGCTTCATAGGATCCAGTGAACTCCCTGAAATTATAGTATAATGTGTCAGTTCAGTTCAGTTCAATATAATGTGTACATACGTACAATTGTACCTTCCTCAAGGGAATGGTATGCATGCATGCTAAGTCACTTCAGTTGTGTCTGACTCTGTGTGACCCTATGGACTGTAGCCCACCAAGCTCCTTTATCCATGGGATTCTCCAGGCAAGAATATTTGAGTGGGTTGCCATGCCCACCTCCAGGGGATCTTCCTGACCCAGGGATTGAACCCAAGTTGTTTATGTCTCCTGCAGTGACAGGCAGGTTCTAGCGCCACCTGGGAAGCCCTCAAAGGAATGGGTCTGTAAGTAAACAGGGCAAAGGGTCCAATCTTTGTTCCAGACTGTGTAACCTGTAGTCACATTTCTTATCTAACTCCAGACCTTGTCAATATTACCAAGTTTGTCACATAAATCTTATTTTTCAAATATTTCTTTAATTAAGTTGATTTAATTTCTGTAATCTTCACTGAAAGTGAAGTGAAAGTGAAAGTCACTTAGTCACGTCCGACTCTTTGCACCCCATTGACTACACAGTCCATGGAATTCTCCAGGCCAGAATACTGGAGTGGATAACCTTTCGCTTCTCCGGGGGATTTTTCCAACCCAGGGATTGAACTGAAGTCCACCCGCATTGCAGGTGGACTCTTTACCAGCTGAACCACAAGGGAAGCCCAAGAATACTGGAGTGGGTAGCCTATCCATTCTCCAGTGGATCTTCCCGACCCAGGAATTGAACCGAAGTCTCCTGCATTTCAGGTGGATTCTTTACCAACTGAGCTATCAGGGAAGCAAAACCTTGCCTATAATCAATGTTGAGGAAGAAAACTTTTGGTCTCCAGAAGGACTTAAGACTTCTTTGTCTTTATCAATACTTATGACTCCTGCCATCCACTCCAACCTCCTAGCCTAATGGTGGGACTTTTGAAGTAGCTAAAAAAATATGGAGTAGTTGTCTCTGAACTTATTTGATCATTTTGTTCCATCAAGAAAAAATTTTGAGCATGTATCTTTAATGTGTTATATATATGGTGGTGGTGGTGGTTTAGTCCCTAAGTTGTGTCCAATCTTGGGAACCCATGGACTGTGGTCCATCAGGCTCCTCTGTCCATGGGATTTTCCAGGCAAGAATACTGGGATGGGTCACCTTTTACTTCTCCAATTATATACATATAGATCCCCATACTGACTGTGAATGTTGTAAAATACAACAGAAACAGAAAATTTAAAAGATGAGAAAATGTTTATCATAATATGAAAGTTTCTCTCCACTTCCTTACGAATCCCACCTTGCATTTTTTTTTAATTGAAGTATAGTTGGCTTACAAATTTGTTAGATTTTGGTTTTCAGCAGAGTGACTCAGTTATACATATACATTCTTTTGTCATTATAAGTTATTACAAGATACTGAATATGTTTCCCTGTGCTATACAGTAAACACTTGTTGTTTATTTTATATATAATAGTTTGTATCTACTAATCCCAAACTCCTAATTTATCCTTTTTCCCCTTTCACCTTTGATAACCATAAATTTGCTTTCTATGTCTGTGAGTCTGTTTCTGTTTTATAAATAAGTCTATTTGTATCATATTTTAGATTCCACATATAGGTAATACATGTAATTGCCTTTCTCTGTCTGACTTATTTCACTTAGTATGATCATCTCTGGGTCCATCCATGTTGCTGCAAATGGCATTATTTCACTCTTTTATGATTGAGTAGTATTCCACTGATAGTGGAGGACAGGAAGTCTGGTGTGCTACATTCCATGGAGTTGCAAAGAGTCAGACACAACTTAGCAACTGAACAACAGCTTCAGTATTCCATTGTGTGTGTGCATCCATATTAATATACATATACATGTTCTTTATCCATTCATCTGTCAATGAACATTTAGGTTGCTTCCATTGCAAACAGTGCTACTGTGAACATTGGGGTGCAAGGATCTTTTTGAATTGGAGTTTTCATTGATCCCACTTTGAAGACTTGATCTTGACATCACCAGACAAGACACTGAGACCTAGCTCTCCTTCCCTCCACCATAAACTCATGGCTGAAGGGATGAGCTGGGCAGACAGCCTAAGAAAACCCTCTCAAAGGCAGTCTCTTTTCCCACTCTCCCTTCATGTCTGGCACTGCCTCTCTTTACACTGAAGGGGAATGATCTAAAGTTCAGACCAGGGATTAGAGTTTACATCAGAACAACAAACATTTTCCCTGCAATTTATCCCAATGTACTATAATATCCCAATGTACTATGGCCAAAGAATTGATGCTTTTGAACTATGGTGTTGGAGAAGACTCTTGAGAGTCTCTTGGACAGCAAGGAGATCCAACCAGTCCATCCTAAAGGAAATCAGTCCTGAATATTCATTGGAAGGGCTGATGTTGAAGCTGAAAGTCCAATTCTTTGGCCACCTGATGTGAAGAACCAACTCATTTGAAAAGACCCTCATGCTAGGAAAGATTGAAGGCAGGGAGAGAAATGGATGACAGAGGATGAGATGGTTGGATGGCATCACCGACTCAATGGACATGAGTTTGAGTAAACTTCAGGAGTTCGTGATGGACAGGGAGGCCCGGAGTGCTGCAATCCATGGACTCACAGAGTCAGACACGACTCAGCGACTGAACTAGACTATAATTACAAATTGATTTTTAAACCTGAATTTCTAGTTCCACTGTCAATCAAAAAAATTTCCCCCAAAAAAGGCCAAGGCTGCAGGGTTGAATCACAGAGCAGTGTGGTGGTTGACTCCCCCTTCTTTCTGCACGAACTTTCAGGCAATAGTCTTGCTCCTCTCCACTGTATTGTTTGCTTTCCCTCCTGGGGCAGATCCAAAACACCACACTGTTCATTCGTTCTCTGGTGACCACTCTCTTTTATGGGGAGGCAATGACCTGAACAAGTAGAGGAGCCCACTTCTCTTCTCTTAGGGATCATCCAAACAATCTGAAAAAAACATCCAAGTGGAGAATTATGAATATTGATGCTGTAGATCCCAGGGCTGATATCTCAGTGACCCAGCTTGTTTCATCCAAGGAGAATGACAAAGGGAAGCTTTTTGAATTGTACTCCCGGGCTGAGCCTCTAAGGAATGACAAAAGCAAAGGTTAATTATGGCTGCCACAGGGATATGAGGTCACCTTGAATGGATATTAGGGGATGTAAAGTGGAACTGTTTTAAATCCATATTTGTTCCAGAAAAGTATTGGCACCCAGGAAAGAAAAAGGGATCAAAATCTTTTCAATAGACATAAAGCTATTAGGATGTGTGGAAGACAAAAGATGTCACTAAGTGAAACAGAGCTCACCTTTGCTAAGCAAGGAAGCCAAGAGAGCCAGTAGGTCCCAAGGGACCTATGGCTGCCCAGCTTCTTGTATATGAGTTTGCACCATCCTTCTGCCTTATGAACAGAAGCTAGAGGGCTGGGATGGGGGTGGGGAGCCCTGGAATCATAGATATTTTTGCATCTTTTGCAGACTGGCTGAGTATCGATATGCCATACTATGCCTATGAAGGAAACCAGGTGGTGGTGAGGTGCTCTGGCAGAGACAATAATAAAGAGACTGATGTTCTACAAAGATGGAGCTTGGCTACCCGCTTATTATAACACCTATATCATTTCAAACGCAAGACCCAGTGACAGCAGCTCCTATTATTGTAAGGCAAAAAGGAGAGTGTTCTTATTTATAGATGACATGGAAGAAACAAGATCTGCATGGTTCACTGTCCAAGGTGAGGGTCTCACTGTTTAAGTGGATGAGACTGGGAAGGAGTAGGGCCTGGGTGGAAGGAGCAGGGTGCAGTGCAGAGAAGACCATGCAGGAAGGGAGAAATGGTGGGTGGCTGCGATCCTGGAGTCTGGGCCTGTTTCCTGCTCACTGGGGCTGAGAAGGCACTTCTCAACAGGAACTCTATACCTCACTGACTGGTGGCCTCTGCTTAATTCTTCCCTCCAGAGCTGTTTCCAGCACCTCAACTGACAACCAGACCCTCACAGCCCACTGAGGAAGCCTCAGTAACCCTGTCCTTTAGACCCAGCTCCCTGAAGACAGATCAGAGACCCAACTTCGCTACTCCTTCTACAAGGATGGCTACACCCTGAGGTCAGACTGGGACTCCCCAGAGTTTTGGATCTCAACAATATGGAAAGAAGACTCAGGATATTACAGGTGTGGGACAATGACAGTGTCTCACAGTGTCTCAAAGCAGAGTCACCAGTCCTATATACAAGTGCAAAGTGAGCATTGGTACTGGGCTGCTAGGCTGGGTGGGCAGAGAACTGTAGTTTCCTCTCAGACCTGTGTTCTTCATTCAACTGTGCTGCCTCTGTGCCTGTGGTTGTGGGGGCCACAATGACCCAATCAGGCTCTGCTTTATTAACTGCTACCATGGCATCATTTCCCAATAGTTCTGCTCTCCCTACCAGAAAAAAAAAATAATAATAATAGTATTTCCCTGGTGGTCCAGCAGTTAAGACTCCATGTTCCCAAGGCAGGGGGCCCAGTTTCAATCCCTGGTCAGAGAAGTAGACCCCATAGAAAGTGGAAGTGTTAGTCAATCAGTCGTGTCCAACTCTTTGTGACCCCATAGACTGTATCCCACTTGGCTCCTCTGGAGAATACTGGAGTGGGTTGCCATTCCCTTCTCCAGGGGATCTTCCTGACTCAGGGATCAAACTCGGGTCTTCTGCATTGGAGGTAGATGCTTTATCATCTGAGCCACCCCACAACTAAAAGATCTCACAAGCTGCAACAAGATCCAGTGCAGCCAAATAAATAAATTTAAAATACATATGTATAGCTTACATATGTATTTTTAAATAGTTTTTAAAATATTTATTTTTAAAAAAGTAAAGAAGTAGTTTAAAAAAACAATAATAATCTCTCTGGAGCATTTATATATACTTAGCACTAAGGAATACTCAGTGAACCAAGAGATAAATCATCGTCTCTGTCTACAGAGAATGACCCCCAACTAGGAAGCACATTAAGCCAGCTAGAGCAATGGAGGAACAAAGTGATGATGGTGATAATGATGATGTGAGAAATATCCGTAAGAATCCTCAGCATTTCTTAAAAGTTTACTAAACCAAGCTGTTAAATTCAATTCAGAACCCCTCTGATGCTCAGAAATATTTGCAGAGGGGAAGACTTGTAGAAAGTTTATCAAGTACCAAGAAGGCACTGATCAGAGCAGTTTTATATTTAGTTCTCAGAGTAACCCTGTGAAGTAGGTGAAAATTATCTGTAAAGTGGATAGTATGTCATCCTCACTTTACACATGAGGAACTGGAAGCACAGAGCTGTTTGGTGGCCTGCCCCAATGGAACCCAGCAAATAAGCGGCACAGCTGGAATCTGAAGCCAGGCACTCTGGCATCAGTTACATTTCCTATCTCAACCACATCAGTGGAGAGTAGTACCAGTAACAGCCACCACTTCCTGGACATCTTCAGTGTAACAGGTTCTGTACATGCATGCTGTTTCATCTTCATGAGAACGCTACGAAGTTGGTATGGTTATCCACACTTTACCTTCGAGAAAACTGAGGATCAAAGAGATTAACTGATCTATCAAGATCATGCAATGAATAAGCAGTGGAAGTGGGTGGGGACTCCCCTGTCAGCCCCCTTCCCATCACTCCTGCTGTCCTGAGTTTATCTGGAGGTCAGGAAGGAGCAAGATCACTAAGGGCCGTGGTCATTAGCAAAGGCTAATGAGTGTGGAGGAAGTGCAAGTTGGAATTTTTAGAGCATTCAGGAGCAGGGTGATCCTGCCTGAGGGCTCTCAGCATGTACCCTCCCTGATTAAAAAAAAACGCTTCTCTGCCTAAACATCCCACCAGCCCCGCCTGCCATAATGCTCAGCAGGTGGTACCAGCCTCAACTCCAGGCCCTCACCCTTCGTCCTGTGTTCACACAGGAATCCCTGTATCTGGAGTGTTCCTGGAGACACATCCCCGGAGGGACCAGGTGGTTGAAGGGGAGACGCTGGTCCTTGTCTGCTCTGTGGCCAAAGGCACCGGGAAAACCACGTTTTCTTGGCACAGAGAGGACACGAGTGAGATTCTGGGGCGGAAAAGTCAGCGCTCCCAGACAGCCGAGCTGGAGATCCCCGTTATCTGGGAGAGCCACGCCGGGCGCTACTACTGCACAGCTGACAACGGCTACGGCCTCATCCAGAGCGAGGCAGTGAACGTCACTGTGAAAAGTAGCTAATTCTCCTAATTAGCCGGAGAGTCCCAACTGCCATTGGTTGGTTTCCTTCTGTGGCAGTGAGGATGTTCCAAGGATGAGAATCAGGGCTGTGTAGGGGTTAGGAAGGCATTAACATGCTAGGGTTGTTATTGCAGCCGTGGTGGCAGCGGTAGCAGTGACAACAGGGGCAGAAGAGCCGAAGGACGATGACAAGGGGAGACAGGAAGCAGGCTCTGAGGCCCGGTCAGACGCAGGGTCTCCAGAACTCCTCCCCGGAAGCTGGCAAAGCTCCACAGGGAACCGTCTCTGCAGTGTTAGCTCAGAAGGTGCGATAGTGGGGAAGAAACCCCAGGGCTTGAGAGGTACTGTGTGGACACAGTGAGAATAGACAGAGTGGGTTTTAAGTCTGTGCCCGCACCAGAGACCCTCCCTGATGAACGGTCCTTTATCAATTCCAGTGTCATGTCCTGTCCTCACCTTCAGTGTTCCCGGGGCCCAGGCCTTGAGTGGGGAGGGCCCAGGCCTTGACTGGGGACGTGGTGGAGCTTCGCTGTGAGGACAAGAGAGCATCTCCCCTCATTCTGTACCGGTTTTATCATGAAGATGTTCCCCTGGGGAGCACCTCGGCGCCTTCTGGAGGAGGAGCTTCCTTCATCCGCTCTGTGACCGCAAGGCATTGTGGGAGCTTTGCTTGCGAGGCCGACAACGGCCTGGGGGCCCAGCGCCGGGAAGTGGCGGTAGTCCACGTCGCAGGTGGGACAAGTCCGACGCCTCCTTCTAGAGCACTAGTTGCCGTTATGCCAAACAATGGCATGTGTGTCCTTTCCATGGGTTTTCCTCTCCTTCGAGGAATCGGAGTTCAACAAAAGAAGCTGTCAGCTTTCCCTGTCTCTCCTCACTGGTCTGAACAGCAGCATCACTGGCCTTCCGGTTCCCCTTTCACTTACATCTTCAGATAGGTGTGAAGTAAATACTGCACTAGGATCAAGTCAGCCCTGGGAGGGGGGTAAGTGAGGCATGGAGGGAGGAGACAAAGACGGTTGCATATTCAGAGCTCTGAGCGAGCAAGGAGCTACAACCAAACCTTGTCAGTACTCAAGGAAACAGTGAAAACCCCATGGACAAACCAGATTCTAGGATTCAAAGCTTTACTAGGATTATCTCATTTAATCTCCACTGACAACTCTCATTTTACTAGTGAGGAAATGATATTTAGAATAAGTAACTAACCCACCATCACACAGCAAGTAGGTACAAAGATGAAATTCTAGACTAGAACTACAGAATTGAAAAACTGCTCTTTGCCACTATGTTAAAATGATGGCTGTATATATAATATTTTTCCCTTTAATTTATTATTGTGGAGAAGTGCCTGCATAAGTTTCTTAGTATGGAATAATCATTGAATTCCTGCTATAAACCTTCTCAGTCATTATATCATAGGTAGCAGCTACATACAACTTAATATTTATTGCAAATGTTTGCTTCTTTATTTATGAGTTTTCTTTTTTGAACCAATTTTGGTTTCAGGGATAGGTTTACCTCATAAGAATGTTTTCAGAGGTTTTCCATATTTTCTGTACTCTGCAGCAGTTTAAAACCATATTGGAAATGGAAAAAAGACAACCTCTTTAACAAGTGGTGCTGGGAAAACTGGTCAACCACTTGTAAAAGAATGAAACTAGAACACTTTCTAACACCATACACAAAAATAAACTCAAAATGGATTAAAGATCTAAATGTAAGACCAGATACTATAGAAATCCTAGAGGAGAACATAGGCAAAACACTCTCTGACATAAATCACAGCAGGATCCTCTATGACCCACATCCCAGAATTTTAGAAACAAAAGCAAAAATAAACAAATGGGACCTAATGAAACTTAAAAGCTTTTGCACAACAAAGGAAACTATAAGCAAGGTGAAAAGACAGCCCTCAGATTGGGAGAAAATAATAGCAAACGAAGCAACAGACAAAGGATTAATCTCAAAAATATACAAGCAACTCCTCCAGCTCAACTCCAGAAAAATAAATGACCCAATCAAAAAATGGGCCAAAGAACTAAACAGACATTTCTCCAAGGAAGACATGCAGATAGCTAACAAACACATGAAAAGATGCTCAACATCACTCATTATCAGAGAAATGCAAATCAAAACCACAATGAGGTACCATTACATGCCAGTCAGGATGGCTGCTATCCAAAAGTCTACAAGCAATAATTGCTGGAGAGGGTGTGGAGAAAAGGGAACCCTCTTACACTGTTGGTGGGAATGCAAACTAGTACAGCTGCTATGGAAAACAGTGTGGAGATTTCTTAAAACACTGGAAATAGAACTGCCATATGACCCAGCAATCCCACTTCTGGGCATACACACCGAGGAAACCGGATCTGAAAGAGACACGTGCACCCCAATGTTCATCGCAGCACTGTTTATAATAACCAGGACATGGAAGCAACCTAGATGCCCATCAGCAGACGAATGGATGAGGAAGCTGTGGTACATATATACCATGGAATATTACTCAGCCATTAAAAAGAATTCATTTGAATCAGTTCTAATGTGATGGATGAAACTGAGCCCATTATACTGAGTGAAGTAAGCCAGAAAGATAAAAGACCATTACAGTATACTAACACATATATATGGAATTTAGAAAGATGGTAACGATAACCCTATATGCAAAACAGAAAAAGAGACACAGATGTATAGTACAGACTTTTGGACTCTGTGGGAGAAGGCGAGGGTGGGATGTTTCAAGAGTACAGCATCGAAACATGTATATTATCTATGGTGAAACAGATCACCAGCCCAGGTTGGGTGCATGAGACAAGTGCTCGGACCTGGTGCACTGGGAAGACCCAGAGGGATCGGGCGGAGAGGGAGGTGGGAGGGGGGATCAGGATGGGGAATACATGTAAAACCATGGCTGATTCTTGTCAATGTATGACAAAAACCACTACAATATTGTAAAGTAATTAGCCTCCAACTAATAAAAAAAATAAAAATAAAAATAAAACCGTATTGGAATTATCTATTTGCAAAGTCTTTGGAACTAGCCCGAACAACATTCTGAGCTTCTTAAATCCTTACCTCCACTGTCAAATCTTTTTTATTAGTCTTCAAAATTTTCTATTCCTTGTTAGAATAATATGGATGATTATACCTAAATTTATCACAGAATGTTGTCTGTAGTATTCTCATCTAACTTTGAAACAACCTTTATATATGCATTTATGCTCTCTTCTGATTTCTAGTTTGTGTGATCTCTTTTTCTTAATCATATTTGCCATATGCTTGTCAATTTTATTGCTCTTTTTAAGGAACCAGGCTTAGTTTTTTTACTCAAATATATTTGAGTTTTGGTTTTCTGATTCATTTGTTTCTCCTTTATCTTCAATATATCTTTCTTCCTTTTCAGTTTATTTTACATGGTTCTTTAATTTCTTAAGCAAATGCTTATTCATTTTTCATCTTTGTCTCCTAATAAATGAATTTAAAACTGTATAGTTTCTTCTAAGTACCACTTTCATCTCATCCTGCAGATTTTTATGTATAATATTTTCATTTGTTTAATTTCCAAAGTATGTAAAATTTGTGTTTCACTGAATTTTATAGCCTGAAACTTAATAATTTCTTATGAATAGATTTTTATCCTCTTTTATTAGTTTCTTTTTTTAATTTTTATTGGAGTATAATTGATATGCAATGTCATGTTAGTTTCAGGTATATGGCAAAATGAACCAGTTGTGCATGCATACATGCTAAGTCATGTCATTTGTGTACTTGTGTACTACACTTTGCCACCCTATGGACTGTAGCTCACCAGGCTCCTCTGTCCATGGGGATTCTCCAGGCAAGAATACCCGAATGGGTTGCTATTTCCTCCTCTAGGGCATCTTCCTGACCGAGGGATCGAACCCACGTCTCTTGCATCTCCTGTATTGGCAGGCAGGTTCTTTACCACTTTGCCACCTGGGAAGCCCCAACCAGTTATACATGTACATATAGCCACTCTTTTTTAGATTATTTTCCCATATAGGTCATTACAGAGTATTGAGTCAAATTACTTGTGCTATATAGTAGATCTTATTAGTTATCTATTTTATTTATAGTAGTGTGCCCCTCCCTCACTTACCCCATGGTAACCATAAACTTGTTTTCTACATCTGTAACCCTATTTCTGTTTTGTAGATAAGTTCATTTATACACTTTTTTAGATTTTTATACATTTCTTTTCTAAAAACTTTTTATTATCCCTGTATTAAATTTTATCAAAGAATATGGCCTGTATCATTTGGGGATTTACTAATAATATTTTTTGAAATAACACACAGTTAACATTTTTTCTAAATGCTGTAAATGGAATTTGAAAAGAGTGTGAATTTTCTATTTAGGATATGCAAAGTTCAGTTTTTATTTTTCTATTAAATTAAGCAAGTTGTTTGATGTATTCAGTTTCTATAGAGTCTTACATATGTTTGCTTTTTTCAAGCTATTAATTTTTGGGAATCATATTTACATTATTACTTATAATTCTTAGAAACTTAACTTTTTATAGGGGCTTTGTCATGAACTTGGTAATTGACTGTGTAAAATGGGGAATTTTTGTCTCAAATGACAGGAATCCTATACAAACAGGCTTGGGCCAGAAAAAAAAAGTAGATTTGGTGGGAGGGTCAGGAATGGACATGGCTTAATGTGTGACTAGCAAAGAGTTCTGTCTCTGCCTCCCCTCTTTCCTCTGCATTTCTTCATTAACTTCTCAGACAGGCAGAGCTGACCACTGACATCTTCAGTCTTATATCCCTTCTTTTTGCTAGATATCCCAAAGAAAAGAGTTTCTTTTTAATTATTTAAAATTTTTTGTAATTAAAAAAAGAAATTTGGCTAAGCCACATGATGTGCAGGATCTTAGTTACCTGACCAGAGATTGAACCCACACCCCCTGCAGTGGAAGCACAGAGTCTTAACCACTGGACTGTCAGGGAAGTCCCTAAATTTTTTTTAATGAAGTGTAGTTGATTTACAATGTCATTTTAGTTTCAGGCATATAACACAGTGATTCTGTTTTATATTCCTTTTAAGATTCTTTTCCCTTACAAGTTATTACAAAATATTGATAGAGTTCTCTGTGCTTTACAGTAGGCCCTTGTTGGTTATCTATTTTATGCATAGTAGTGTGAATATGTTAATTCCCACCTCCTAATTTATCCCTCCGCCACTTTTCCATTTGGAAAACTTATAATCATAAGTTTGTTTACTGTGTCTGTGATTCTGTTTCTGTTTTGTGGATAAGTTCATTTGTAGCCTTTTTTTTTTTAGATTCCATATATAAGTGACACTATATGATATCTGTCTTTCTCTGTCTAACATTTCTTAGTATGATGATCTCTAAGTCCATCCATGTTGCTACAAATGACATTATTCCATCCTTTGTTATGGCTGAGTGATATTCCATTGTGTATATGTACCACATCTTCTTTATCCATTCATCTGTCAGTGGACATTTAGGTTGCTTCCATGTCTTGGTTTTTGTAAATAATGCTGCAGTGAACATTGGTGTTCGTATACCTGAGAAAAGAGTCTCTTTAAACATTACTCCAGTTCAGACACAGACTAAAGAACAGACTTATGGGCATGGGGCAGGGGCAGGTAAGAAGGAGAAAGTGGGACAAATGGAGAGAGTAGCATGGAAACATATACACTCACGTATGTGAAATAGATAGCCAATGGGAATTTGCTATATGACTCAGGGAACACAGACCGGGGTTCTGTGACAACCTAGAGGGGTGGGATAGGGTGAGAGGTGGGAGGCAGACTTAAGAGGGAGGCAACATTTGTACAGCTGTGGCTGATCCATGTTGATGTATAGCAGAAACCAACACAATATTATAATTATCCTTCAATTTAAATAAATAAAACAATTACTCCAGTTTAAAAAGCAAAAAATAAAACAACAGCAGCAAAAAGCAAATAAGTAGAGATTAACCAGCCCATGTGATGTGTTCATCCTTTTCCTCTGCAGAGAACACGGGGCTGTGACTGGTGAAGTCAGCAACAGGGAGGAGCAAAAGAAAACTGAGTAACTCAATTGATCTCTTCTAGGCCTTTCTTTATTCCAAGCCTCAGTGTCCATTTTCAGGAAAGACCTGATTCTGGACCTCTCTTTTTCTAAGATCTTTTTGAGGTCATAAACATCAAACTATAAGTCTCTCCGTGCCTGTATTACCTTGTTTTCAGAAAGGCCTTTACCCAGGTGACTTTGAGTGGAGGCCTTAGGTGGGGTGGGATGTTTTAGGAGATGGTAATGGCATGGGATAGAGCAAAGCTTGGTGATTCCTGATTTAGCAAGTCCTCTGCCTCATACCAGGCTTCCCTGGTGGCTCAGAGGATAAAAGCATCTGCCTCCAATGCAGGAGACCCAGGTTCAATCCCTGGGTTGGGAAGATCCCCTGGAGAAGGAAATGGTAACCCACTCTAGTATTCTTGCCTGGAGAATCCCATGGACGGAGGAGCCTGGTAGGCTATAGTCCACAGGGTCGCAAAGAGTCGGACACTACTGAGCGACTTCACTTTCACTTTCACTGCCTCATACCACACACCACCACCACTATTAAACAACCTCTCTTAACACTTGGAAGCTGCCTTAAGAGGACGTTTCTGAGTGTGCTCTGACCCCTTCTGTTCGCAGAATTTCCACCTAAAATACGCTTGATGAATTGTCCCCACCGTTGTGAAGGGCGAGTGGAGGTGGAAAAGGAAGGTTGCTGGGACACCATGTGTGATGACGGCTGGGACATGAAGGATGTAGCCGTGGGGTTCTGGGAGCTGGGCTGTGGGGCAGCCGAGCACACACCTGCAGGCACGTTGTATCTGCCAGTTGCAGAGGAGAACCAGCCTGTATTTATTCAGGGAGCCCTGTGCAATGGGACAGAAGCAGCACTGGCTGAATGTGAGCAGCTTGAGACCTTTGTGGGCACGATAAGGATGCAGGCGCAGTGTGCGAAGGTAGGTGATGGCGGGGCCTGCTGAATGGGAGCCGGCTTATTCCACTTCAAGGCCCTTCTCTATGCTTCCTCCAACTCACTTTGCTAGTCACTGTTGCTCCTGCTGCCTTCAGAACCACTCACTCATTCTACATTAGTATGTGGTCAGGAAAACACCATTAGTTCATATTAGGCAGTCCAGAGTTATAAAGGACTCTCCTACACATTCTGTTAGTAGCCTGTATCTGCCACTTCGAAAGATAAGATATTGGCATTTTCATGGCCATGAGTTTGGCTATAAGGCCAGGAAAATAATTGTGAAACCATAAAATTACAGTTTGAGTGATTTTAATGGAGGTCACACTGCTTATATTGTTCTAATCAATATAGATTGATTAGAGCTGATGGGATTAGATTGTTCTATATTCTCATCTAATCCCATCAGCCCTACTGTACTGTCTCCCTGAAATGCCTCTACTCATCGAAACAAATCCCAAATAAGAGGAGTGCTTGGTAGGGAAGATGCAAGTGCTTTTCCCTTCCCTGGATTCTAGTGAGACAGGGAGTGGGGAATGCGAGGAATGTAGGAAAAACCCTGGGTCTTCAAGGAAACCAGGCCACAAATTGAGGGTGGAAGTAAAATAAAGTCCACTGCATTTCCCAAAGATTCTATCGAGCCTGTGACTAGAGCAGAAGCCAGTGGGATTGCTACCTCATGCCCAGCCCCAGATCGTGTCTCTGGTGGAGCACCCCAACTTCCTGGGCATCCTTCCAGAGGTGGTGAGAATAAGCTAGAACTATAGAGCCAATGTCCAGTTTTAGGAATATCTAAAGGCCTGTGGCTCATTCAGGGAAATGGAATAAGCTTTGGAAATTGGAAAGGATCAGGATTTGGTGTCAACTAACCCACTCCAAGGAGATCCAACCAGTCCATCCTGAAGATCAATCCTGGGTGTTCATTGGAAGGACTGATGCTGAAGCTGAAACCCCAATTCTTTGGCCACCTCATGCGAAGAGTTGACTCATTGGAAAACACCCTGATGCTGGGGGGGATTGCGGGCAGGAGGAGAAGGGAATGACAGAGGAGGAGATGGCTGGATGGCATCACTGACTTGACGGGCATGAGTTTGAGTAAACTCCGGGAGTTGGCGATGGACAGGGAGGCCTGGCGTGCTGAGATTCATGGGGTTGCAAAGAGTCGGACATGACTGAGCGACTGAACTGAACGGAACTGAACTGAACCCACTGCAGTGTTCTTGCCTGGAGAATCCCAGGGATGGGGGAGCCTGGTGGGCTGCTGTCTGTGGGGTCGCACAGAGTCGGACATGATTGAAGCGACTTAGCAGCAGCAGCAGCATACAGACTCAATGGACATGAGTTTGAGTAAACTCCGGGAGTTGGTGATGGACAGGGAGGCCTGGTGTGCTGCGATTCATGGGGTCGCAAAGAGTTGGACATGACTGAGCGACTGAACTGACTCATACAGAGCTTGAGTCCTGCCTCCCCCACTTACCAGCCCTATAAGCATCAAACTTCTCTGAAGCTCATGATCTCTGTCAGAAAAGTGGAATAATACCTGGTCCAGTTACAGAGCTGGGACAAGATCAAACACTCCTCATTCATAAAGATCTGTGGTAAAGAGCAAAATCTGGGAAGAAGTCTCCAGGGCCTGCTACTGCTTGCTGATTTTAGATGATCTCCATGAAAGGGGAGGTCTGGAACTCAGGGTTGGCCCTCTTCCATATCCTGGACCTCACCTCTCCAGGAAGACCCCATGAGTTTGTCCGGACAATCCCTTTTTGGCCCTTCCTCTCCTTACCACCGATTCCCTTTTCTCTACAGCATTCTAGCCTAGTTCTTTTTGAAGATATGGAGACTGGAGGCCCGCAGACCTCAGAATCTACTTTTTGAGCTCCCAGCCCTGGGTGACCCAGTGGCTCTGGACAGACCTTAATGTCCTGTGGCTCGCTTGAGCCCTGTGGCTCGCTTGACCCCTCATCAGGATTCTAAATTGTTCTTCTGAGCCAAAGTATCAACTGTGCCTGCACCTGGGGCAAAACCCAGCTCCCAAAGAAGCCAAGCTCAGAGAACATCTCTGTCTATACTGACACCTTGGCCTGGTCCTGGCTTTTCCAGTCTCTTCCAGAACTGCCTGGGGATCCCAATACTGTATCCTTGAGCAGATGTAGCAGCTCCTGGGATGAAACAAGCAAGGAACTGATTGAGGTGGGCCCTACATCTGATACAAAATATGTGCATGTAAAACAGACAAAATAAAAGAAAATGTGGGTATTTGATTTTGTTTCCAAGTGACTTGGGAAGAAAGTAGCTCTTATTTCTTTTTAAAATATTTTTTTAAATTACAAATATAAAACACATTATAAAAAGAATAGTATACAAAAAAGAAAATAAAAATCAGCTAAAATTTTAACACTCAGAAGTAACTGCTGTTAATATTCTGATAATTCTAAAATGTTTTATAAATATATATGAATGAATATGTATATTTCAGTTTCTTATACTGTAAGCTATGTATTATTTTATACTGTTCATTAAATTTAAAAATACAATAGAAGCATTTCATTAACACTAAGTTCCCGCGAGATTATATATGTGTGTGTGTGTGTGTTTTTACAAAAGCTAATCTCTCAGGAAAATATTGTCCTACCAGGTTACTTAGAAATGTTCTTGCCTTTTTGAGAGTCTGAGGTTTTCTGCCAGCATTCAGTATATATTCTGTGAGAATCATTCCACATGGAGATACATTTTTGATGAAATGTGGGAGGAGGTGAGCCTCATGTTTGACTAGTCTGCCATCTTAATCAGTCCTCTCAGGAAAGTCTTGATTCATGAGGTCTTTTGTTCTGCTGAGTATCTTGATTAGATTTGGGTGTGAAAACTGAAGAAAAGGAAAAAGCCACATGCTCCATGATGTAACCCATCCTATGAGTCCCCCAAATTCCAGCAATGCTTGAAAGTGAAAGTGTTAGTTGTGTGTGACTCTTTGCGACCGCATGGACTGTAGCCTGGCAGGCTCCTCTATCCATGGGATTCTCCAGGCAAGAATTCTAGAGTTGGTTGCCTAGATCTCAAAAAATATTTGAGTGATTTCTTTTAGAAATTAATAACTAAATTTTGAATCTGAGTGGATATGGGAAGAAGAAAACTGAAAAGATATATTTCTTTGTCAACAGTTCTCCTTATAATGAATAATTATCACAGCCTTACCTGGTTGTGATGTATATTAATATCCTCCTGAATTCCATTTGATAGTATCTTATGTAAGATTTTTGCATAGGTATTCATAATGAGAATTTGTCTGTAGTTTTTTACACTTCCTTTGGAAAGCTTGGATGAATGCTGTGTTGGTTTCTTATTATTTTGAAAGATTTTTTTCTCTGTGATTGCTAAAAAAATATGTAAATTCTACTAAATTTATCTTCTTGAAGACTAAAAATATTAGTGAGTGAAACCATCTGGCTTGATATATTTGGAGATGTGACTCTCCAATAACATTCTCAACTTTTTTCACTATTACTGTTATGTTTATTTAACCTTCTCTTGAAAAAAAACTGGTAATTTATATTTTCCTAGAAAGTCATCCATTTAATATAGGTTTTCAAAAGATGTATGTTTAATTCATTGTCCCTTCTTTCTTGATTAACCTATTCAGTGGTTTATCTATTTTTCATAGAAAAGCTTTTGAGTTTATTCATATATTCTGTTGGGGTTTTCCGTTTGATTTATTCATTAATGTCTGCTTTTATCTTCACTGATTTTGGTGATATTTTTCTAAGTTCTTAGTTTCAATGCCTAGTTAATTTATTTTTATTTTTGTTTGTTGGTACTTTTTCCAGTTGTTTAAAGAACTGTTTTAATCATGCCTCTTACATTTTGATAGGTAGTGTTTTGGTTATAATTGTTATCAAGTCTGTAATATCAGTTTTATTTTCTCCTTTGACCTCAGAAATGTTTTAAAAGAGGAAATTTTTTAGTTGCCTGGTGAAAGGATTTTCCCTTAATTTTGTGATTTTTAAAAATAATTGATTGAATTTATAATTTTTTAAGGTTTTCTTTGTGACTTAAAATATGATCAATTTTGGTAGATCATCTGTGGGTACTTAAAAGAAAGTGAATTCCCTGTTACTGGAGTCAATGTATATTTATTAGGAATTCCTTATTAATCATACTATTTGATTCATATGCACCCTTATTTCTTAATCTGCCTGATCTACTGCGGGTCTACAGGTATCATTTGTTATTGTCATTGTCATTAAATTTATTTCTCCTTCTGTTTCCTACAGTCCATGTGTCAAGTATTGATATTTTGGTGACATGATATTTACTTCCAAAGATTTATGAGGCTTGGAGTTTTCTCGTACATCTTAGCCCTTCCCACTTTCATTCAGTGTTTTCTGCCTTGATATGTCTTTGTCCAGTCTTCCACTTCTAACTTTCTGAGTGACTTTCCTGTATATAAGGGGTATGTAGCATATAGGGCTTTTTGTTTGTTTTTTTGCTTTAAATTTATTCAAGTACAGTTGATTTACAATGTTGTGTTAATGTAACATATAGTTGAGTTTTGCTTTTGTACTGGATACAAAATTTATTTTATTAACTGTTTGCCTTTTCACTCTACATTTTCTCTTCTTATTACTTTCTTCATTTTTTGTTTCCTTTTGTTTTCCTTCCTGTTTGTTTTGTAACCTCAGATGCTGAGTTAATCATGCTTCTCAGCTCATGGCTCCCTCCCATAGTGGGACCATACCTATTTTCTCTAGTTTTCTTTCCTCATAGCCTTGTATCTTTAGGTGCTCTTCTCATTCCTCGGTCTCCAGCCATTCTAATGCATTTGATGTACTCCCTTCGCTTCCGTACATTATTTGTGGTGAGCCTGATTTCTTTGTTTGTTGTACTATTGCTCCATTTTTCTCAGTGCCATGTTTTTTTTAATTTATGCACGTTACTGTGTGTACATCTAGTTCATTGCTCCTAACTTCTGCACATTATTCCACCACACTGTCCGTATCTAATCCCCCAGTGATG